TAAATTGTTGCCAAGTGATACCGAGATTTTAATTGAGTTGTGTGATGCAGAATACTTTTAATATTTACGGTGAAGTCTCTCTCCAAATTACAGTTAATGTCATAAGAATTCCCTCGTACCTTGGATGCAGTCGTTTAGATAGTGAGAACTGTGGTATCTTTATCTAAATCTCTACATTCTCATAACATCCGACTATAATCTACATTCTCATAACATCCGACTATAATCTACATTCTCATGGCATCCGACTATAATCTACATTCTCATGGCATCCGACTATAATCTACATTCTCATAACATCCGACTATAATCTACATTCTCATGGCATCCGACTATAATCTACATTCTCATGGCATCCGACTATAATCTACATTCTCATAACATCCGACTATAATCTACATTCTCATGGCATCCGACTATAATCTACATTCTCATGGCATCCGACTATAATCTACATTTTCATGGCATCCGACTATAATCTACATTCTCATGGCACCCGACTATAATCTACATTCTCATGGCATCCGACTATAATCTACATTCTCATAACATCCGACTATAATCTACTTTCTCATAACATCCGACTATAATCTACATTCTCATGGCATCCGACTATAATCTACATTCTCATAACATCCGACTATAATCTACATTCTCATAACATCCGACTATAATCTACATTCTCATGGCATCCGACTATAATCTACATTCTCATGGCATCCGACTATAATCTACATTCTCATGGCATCCGACTATAATCTACATTCTCATGACATCCGACTATAATCTACATTCTCATGGCATCCGACTACAATCTACATTCTCATGACATCCGAGTATAATCTACATTCTCATGGCATCCGACTATAATCTACATTCTCATGGCATCCGACTATAATCTACATTCTCATGGCATCCGACTATAATCTACATTCTCATGGCATCCGACTATAATCTACATTCTCATGGCATCCGACTATAATCTACATTCTCATGGCATCCGACTATAATCTACATTCTCAAAACATCCGACTATAATCTACATTCTCATAACATCCGACTATTTCTCATAACATCCGACTATTTCTCATAACATCCGACTATAATCTACATTCTCATAACATCCGACTGTAATCTACATTCTCATAACATCCGACTATAATCTACATTCTCAAAAGATCCGAGTGTTTTCTTCATATATTTCAACACACGCCTCTCAACCAACATGTTTTAAATAACCACAAACCAACCCTTTAAAAAACACAACATATATCAAAATGTTTCCACATTAATGTCAGTCGCAAACCATTTTAGTAGAAAAAACAAATTAATTTTGAAATAAAAGTATGGAGTTCCCTACACAAATATCTTTTTCCATCAATCAGAAGTCCGGGTTCATGTCAAGGCGCGTGTTTTTCGCGTTTAAACACATGCATGATAAAATATGGTGATATGAAAGCTGATGTTTTATGTGTTTTGTGTGTTATGATCAAAACCAGGCAAATGTTTTCTCTATTTTTTTCACCATAATTTACAAGATTTTAATGAAATCATACAGTCGTGAGTGATTTATTTGATAAAACTTCTGGGTTATGTCTTGTCTGTTTAATTTGACTGTACAGATGAAACTTTTTGCTTGTAGGATATTTTATATGTATAGTCGAACGGTGTTATTGTGCACATCCGGAGACGATTTGAAACAACAAGTCTATTATAATTTCTAGCTGAAATAATTAAATACAGATAGGATTTAAAATCAGTTTCAGTGATTGATGACTCAGATGACTGAATCGTGAAGTACATTTTTGAGTTATTGTTTCGAGAATACGGCCTCAGAACAGATTGTTTTCGACTATTTTGAGGAGGTTGGAGGTGTAACTAGAAATTAAACTTTCAGTCAGACGTAGATGATTTGATGGCTCAAATTTCGTCGGTGAGTTGTAAACACCGTTTCAGAGACTACGTAAGGTACGATTGCTCAAACACATACCGAACCTGTCTCCGAAACTACACCTAGACCAGAGGCACCGTGTTGTTCGGGTAAGCAGTTGAATTCCCTCTCAGCAATGTTAACCCAGCTACAAAAAAAAAATGTAAAATTTTCAAATCAATACTTAAGGGAATGTTTCCTCTAAGATTGAACATAAAATTTGAATTCTTAAAACTAAGCAATGAGTATATATCCATTAGTGGTGTAATAAATATACAACAGAATCCCTGTAAACTCTGGCATCGTGCTGTTCGGGTAAGAAGTTGAATTTCCTCTCAGCAATGTGAATGTTCTTTAAGAAAAATGGTTCCAATCTAGAAGTACAAACATTGACTCTGTCTCCATCTAACATATATCAGATGGAAACAGATTGTTTGAAAACAAATCAAATACATCAACATATCTTTTATTCTTTCTCTTTATCTACATTCCCTGTTATACTCTGAAATATTGACAGGTCGGTACGTCTCATTTCACATCGAACAATTGAAGTAAATGTCATTTCCGTCACATAAATTTTACTTGAAAAGGATCCGTATATCGGACAATATATATAGTAAAAGTATCGCACTAAGTGAATTTCTCTCCATTTCTTATGAAAATGAAAGGTGAGAGACGTGGTATATTCTGCCTAGGTAGGAGCACCAACTCATGTAGACCGAAACATATTCCTCTATTCCAGCCTCTGATAGCTGTCAAAATATCTATCAGAGGCTGGAATATGGGCATTATAATTTGGACTACAAATTATGGTGCAAAACCATTAACAACGTAATAGCCTGTACCTGCCTGTCAATAATTCAGGATGAGTGGTTACTGATAATATTGTGTAATAAAGTCTGTAATAGACTGTGGTAGGTCTATAGACTGTCAATCATATATCATACGGTGAATGTTATACTCCTGTCGTTTTAATAAACAACAATATTATCTGTTTTCCTTAGATAAAGGTATAGTTGTACGTTCTGTCAGAGCTAACGTCTTCTTCTGTTGGTCTTGACTAGGTGGTAACATGAGTTAAAACCACTGCTAGGGAAACAGGGTCCGATTCCTAGCTCTCACAAGCCAGTCAGACTTATTTTATGTTAGTTAATGTCCGTTATAGCTTACTCTACCTCTACCTAAAGATAATCAGGCTCATTATGATTTGTACACCGGAAGTAGTTTGCAACAAAACTGTCAGATATAAACCGGAAACAGTCAAACAGAAGTGTGGCAGGAAAAGTATGCAACTTTAGAAGTGGACCTACGACATTAAAATAGCACTGGGAGACAGGACAAAGTGGCATCAATTTTCTGAGAGAAAAGAATTTGGAGAGGAATCTTAAGCTTCTTACCAAAAGACGTGAACCCAAAATATTCCATAAATAAATATTCGAATAAACCTTCAGGAGGTGGTAATATGGAAAATACAAAACTCTGGTTCACCAACATGACATGGGTGAGGCCAAGAGATCTGACCTACATAGAGCGAGATGGGAATCTGCAAATATGAGCTTCTAACCAAGGAAGGAAAGGCCAGAGCAAAGAACTAGAGTAAAAGACTCCGCAAATAAACTAGTTCATTTCGAGAAAATGTTATAGCAATTTGTACGATTGCATTCCACCAAGCAATTAAACCATTAAACCAAAACAACTGGTAGAACTTCATTCAATTCAATTTCTAGATTCATGATTTATAGAGAACTAAGTCTCCATGGACTTTATAACTGCCACATAGAAAGCTCTCTTAATACTCTTCAATCGTTCGGATTGTCCAACTTGCTATTTATCAATGGTTGCAATCTCTTTGACAATGTAAAAACAATCAATCGGATTTCTATTACAACACGTCACCTTTCTGATTTACTTGGCTTTTTATTCCCGCCATGCATCATAAATCACGTGATACAATCATAGCAGACGAACTGACAAATCTATCAATAATAATCAGTCACGGGAGTAACGAGAAAGAGCGAGAACATTGATTAACAATGGCAGCAGTTAGGGGAAATGGTTGCTAAGATAAGTGGCGCCACACGGCGGTAAAAAGTAACATAAGGAAGACGGATGGTAGAATAATAAAACAGAGATTTATTCTGACTTCTCGTAAATCTTGTCTGTTCTTTCTGGTTCGGGTCCTAATTAAATTTTCATCAATTCTGTATGTAAGATTGTGTACGTGTCAGATAAGGGAAAGAAAGGTACGCCGGGTGTAGTTACAATTAACTTATGTTGAAATTATTACGAGTCTGTCTCAGTGGCGGATGTTTTAACTTTAGATTAATTAATTAGTTCTATCTCTAGTTAACAAGGTTTGGGATGTAGGCCTACCTTAAAGGACTTCAGTCCAGGTATTTCTATATGTACAAAAAATACAAATATATTTTATTTTGGTGAAAAAACAACATGAAACAGATGAGTGCGAATGTCAAGTGGGAATTTATCGAAAATTATCTTAGGCGAAAAATGTGCAATACACTTATTTTCCTTTTTTATTCGTCAGGATAAAGTTCTGTGAAGGTCTCATAATATATAGTTCTTCTTTCAATACGTCAGTAAAAAATGGAGTAAGCTTATACTAGGTAGGTCTATTCCTAGATTTTATTGTACCCAAAGTACAGAAGCTTTTAACAAACAAGAAACAGGAGTGTAATAACATACAGAAAAAAGGGAATAAACATTAAATGTACACATTATAATGGCATGGTGTAATGAATTTAAGATGTAACACTATATTACCTACCTTCCTTTAGCCTAGAGCCTATCTAATATCTCCTGATCATTCAAGCTATAAGTAATAAATTTATATATAAATCACCTAATCTGTCATTTCAATACGACAGTTGACAAGCTATCATCTTTCTATCACAAGTTTACAACTGGTCCTTTGATAGGTGTTAGATCACAGGGCTCTATATAGCTTCGGGTGTCGATCATATTTAGAGTCTCATGACGGTTGTTTATCTCTTATATCAATTAATGTCGTTTACCTATATCAATTACAAAATACCAGAAAATACAGAAATTTTCAAATCTTGGTTCTCTTAAATGTTTTTTTTTCTGAATATAATTGAAGGGGTGGCTGAAACCAAATCGGAATTGTTGGCGGAACGGTGTTGGGAATGGTTGTTGGGAATGGGTGTTGGGAATCGGTTGTTTGGAATGGTTGTTGGGAATGGTTGTTAGGAATGGTTTTAGGGGATGGTTGTTGGATGGTTGTTAGGATGGTCGCTGGGAATGGTTGTTGGATGGTTGTTGGGAATGGGTGTTGGGAATGGGTGTTGGGAATCGGTTGTTGGGAATGGTTGTTGGGAATGGTTGTTAGGAATGGTTGTAGGGGATGGTTGTTGGGAATGGTTGTTGGATGGTTGTTAGGAATGGTTGCTGGGAATGGTTGTTGGATGGTTGTTGGGAATGGTTGTTGGGAATGGTTGTTGGATGGTTGTTGGGAATGGTTTTTGGAAATGGTTGTTGGATGGTTTTTGGGAATGGTTGTTGGAAATGGTTGTTGGGAATGGTTGTTGGAAATGGTTGTTGAATGGTTGTTGGCAATGGTTGTTGGGGATGGTTGTAGGGAATAGTTGTTGGGAATGGTTGTTGGGAATGGTTGTTGGGAATGGTTGTTGGGAATGGTTGTAGGGAATGGTTGTTGGGAATGGTTGTTGGGAATGGTTGTTGGATGGTCGTTGGGAATAGTTGTAGGGAATGGTTGTAGGGAATGGTTGTTGGGAATGGTTGTTGGGAATGGTTGTTGGGTGGTTGTTTGAAAAGTTCTTGGAACAGAAATGGAATTGTTCTCCAAACTGATATTTAGTTACATTATTTACAATTTATAATAAGGCTATACATGTTAAAATTATTTACAATTTATAATGAGGCTATACATGTTAAACTTATTTACAATTTATAATAAGGCTATACATGTTAAACTTATTTACAATTTATAATAAGGCTATACATGTTAAACTTATTTACAATTTATAATAAGGCTATACATGTTAAACTTATTTACAATTTATAATAAGGCTATACATGTTCAACTTATTTACAATTTATAATAAGGCTATATATGTTAAACTTATTTACAATTTATAATAAGGCTATATATGTTAAACTTATTTACAATTTATAATAAGGCTATACATGTTAAACTTATTTACAATTTATAATAAGGCTATACATGTTCAACTTATTTACAATTTATAATAAGGCTATATATGTTAAACTTATTTACAATTTATGATAAGGCTATACATGTTAAACTTATTTACAATTTATATAAGGCTATATATGTTAAACTTATTTACAATTTATATAAGGCTATACATGTTAAAATTATTTACAATTTATAATAAGGCTATACATGTTCAACTTATTTACAATTTATATAAGGCTATATATGTTAAACTTATTTACAATTTATATAAGGCTATATATGTTAAACTTATTTACAATTTATATAAGGCTATACAAGTTAAAATTATTTACAATTTATAATAAGGAAAAATGATATATGGGTCTTGGAACAGAATTAGAATTGGAACGGTTCTCGGGAGAGAATTGGAACGGTTCTCGGGAGAGATTTAGAATTGGAACAGTTCTCGGGAGAGATTTAGAATTGGAACGGTTCTCGAGAGATATTTAGAGTAGGAACGGTTCTCGGGAGAGATTTAGAATTGGAACGGTTCTCGGGAGAGATTTAGAATTGGAACGGTTCTCGGGAGATATTTAGAGTAGGAACGGTTCTCGGGAGAGATTTAGAATTGGAACGGTTCTCGGGAGATATTTAGAATTAGTCTTTGAACGAATACCTAGTTACATTATACACAATTTAAATAACTCTATACCTGATCAAACGTATTTTCAATCTATAGAATTTTGTTCTAACTAAAACCTAAAACAAAGGGTGGATGGGTCCTGAAACAGAGTTGGAATGGCTTTCTGAACGGTTACCTAGTTACAGTTAGACCACACAAATATTGGACAGGGCTATGCATTTATTTTCCATCGAATAAGTTTTATTATGACTAAAATAAAAAATACATAATGTATTTCTGCTAGAATAAGAAACGTCCCTTGGTGTGCATAAAAACCTTTGTTAGACCCAACATTATCATAAATTATCATAATATGGTGAAATCATTGTTTCTCTAAAGACATATTAACATTCATTTCTTCCTAAGTTTTACAGTATCTGACTAAACACTAAGGCTACGTCTACAGAATATAGTTTATGGGGGCAGAGGCACTTGATAATTTTCGCTTCATATTTTTAACACAAAAACCACCGACAAGGTTCTGAGTTGATGATCGGACTCACTGAACTGGAGAAGAAATCACCATTAATATCCGCCGTTCAATTATAATATCCGCTATCATTATTCCTTACAAGATCCGTCCGAGGTAATTTATGTTGACAACTCTGCCATATTTTAGACAGTAAAACATTTGTATAAAGAGATTAAAAGGGCCGCTGTACCAGTCTCTAGTACCATACCGAGACCCTATAATACCAGCTACAAGATATAATGGAGCCCCTATAGTTAGCACTGCCATTAAGACCATTAAACTTCTCCTAAATCAGTTTACAGAGCCGTGGTTCGGGAGACGTTTATTGCCGTCTAAAATTCACCAAACAAATTAGCTCGAGTCAGAAGTGCCATAATGTTGATGAAAAGGCTGGTAAAATGAAAACAGCTGTTCCATTAATCACCCCAACCTTTCAGTTACTTGCATCACAAATCAAACTCTACTTTCGTTTTAATTATTAGATTACAGTCATGTTACAAGGTACTCGATTTATAGAGGCATATTCATTACCTAGCTTCAGAACAGAGGCGAATTCATTTAACATACTTCGCAATGTATTCAAGCAAGACATACTTCGCGAAAACCGAAAACGTGTGCAATGTGTGGCAACCAAATTTCAAAATTGAATGTGATAAAAAAAAAAGACGTGTTTTACGCCAGATATGACTTTATTGAAAGCGCGATTCATAGTTTTGCGATAAGATAAGTTGCTAATTTCAACAATGACAACAAGAAGACGATTATTTATAAAAAAAAATCACCACGAAGCAGATGTTGAAACCGGAAATAAAATGTTCCTTGTTGATATTTTCAATCAAAGTATCCAATCGATCAATTTTCATCGATCACTGATTTCTTTTATTGATTGATTTCGAACATAAATTGAACAGGTCTTGAAATGGATATTTAATTAAAATACAATTAATCAGTTTTAATTAAGCTCGGTAATAAATTATCATATATTTCCATCTGTCATTTTAATCCATTAAAAACTACACCTTAATTGATGACATAGCCCACAACCACAGAATATGATGACGTCAAGATCAAGGAAGACATTTTTATTGTTGTCGTACTTTTGTTTTGCCAAGAAATTCATCTTTAGGATGAAAAATTCATTAAAAACTATCACAGTTTTTCTTTAGATATTTGATGTTTTTGTCAAAATTGTTGACAATCGTTGAAGTTTTGTACGAATGAAAAGAAAACCCCCCAAGCGTGAACATTGTGCATGTCAAAACGTGCTAATAAATAAGGATGACGTATTATGGTAATATAAATGATTTCTGCCAATTAAACTCGCGCCATAAATCATTTCAGACGCCATTTCTGAAATTTCAAATTCTTACTTAAACATTTTCGAGTGTAATTTAGAATTTTGTGAAGTCGTAAATGTTGTTAATGATATAGACAGATGTCAGATAAAAGTTTAAAACTTTCACCCAAAACTTGTTATTTCACATTTCGCCTGTGTTAAACGTCATGTTTTTCTCCAAAATTGTTGCATAATTAGCCGACATTTCTGAATTATTCAAGTGTACAAAATACTGTTTGTATTTACTCCGGAAGAGAACTGAGTTGTCAAGCATATTCACAGATTTCTATCAGATTTCTCGAAAAATGTCGCTTTTATGCTTTATAGTATAATTTTTGGTTGAAAGTGTCTGAGACTCTGAAAAGCATTAGTTTGTTCCAAGTTTTATGAATTAATCCGGGATTTTTCAAGAACATGACAAAGCAAGTAAATACAGAAAAAAGAAAGGTCTAAACCTAAAATTATTGTAAATTTGAAAAGTAGAGAAAATAATCAAGAAAATAAAATATTTTTAAACCAAAATCGTAATGAATTTTATTCTTCTAAACTTTACACTTAGAATTTTATGAAGCATCTACAAAGTTTAACTGATGGCGAACAGAAAAACCATGACACTCCTGTCACCCACAGTTAGGCATATTAATAACCAGAGGTCGCCATAACAACCTCAAAAATACATTTAAACACTAAAATAATGAAGAGAATGACAAGATATGATGGTTGGTATTAATTTTCATTTTTCTTTACATGAATAATGCAGATTTCATCCCAACGAAAACATTATCTCTCGACAGAGACGAATGGGGGATTGTCTACAGCTTCTTTATATTTATTGTTTTACTAATTCATGCTAACAGACATCCCATTTATTTTCTCGTTAACAAGGAGTGTGTCAGTTTTTTGTGTTTTAGTCACTTTTGAATAATTACAATGTTTCAGAGCCGGAAGTGAAATTATATCTACCTATTTTTAGATTATGGTGTAATATTATATTATCTTCTATAGTTAACGTAACTTTTTGTATAAACTGTATACCTATAGTTAACGTAACGTTTTGTATAAACTGTATACCTATAGTTAACGTAACTTTTTGTATAAACTGTATACCTATAGTTAACGTAACGTTTTGTATAAACTGTATACCTATAGTTAACATAACGTTTTGTATAAACTGTATACCTATAGTTAACGTAACTTTTTGTATAAACTGTATACCTATAGTTAACGTAACTTTTTGTATAAACTGTATACCTATAGTTAACGTAACGTTTTGTATAAACTGTATACCTATAGTTAACGTAACGTTTTGTATAAACTGTATACAAACTGTATACCTATAGTTAACGTAACGTTTTGTATAAACTGTATACCTATAGTTAACGTAACGTTTTGTGTGACTTTTCATTTTTGTATAAACTGTATACGTGTAGTTAACGTAACGTTTTGTGTGACATATCATTTTTGTATAAACGTCGATGCTTAACTCGGCATCCAAAGTTACAAAAGCAAATGCAAAATCCATCGACACACAATATAAGATCACAATACATTTTGTTCATGTGTTATTTCAATTGTGATCTGAGAATTCCTCTTGATAAAGTTGCTTTTTGGCCTGGTTTTATTTGGTGTAATATATCATACAGTTCTTATTTTATTCGATTGTAAATTGAACATTTGGAACCTTGTGTTCTAATAAGAATGTGCCGGAAGCGAGTTTTTGGTGGTCAAAGTGTCCAGTTTTGTCAAAGTAGCCTACCGTTTGTGGTCTCGCCTGTCACTAATGCTGCAGTCTTGACACAATTTCTCTCATTGCACACTGTATGGGGCTGTCTAGCACGACGCATCTGGATCTACCCTAGGGTGGTCAGTCACTGTAAGACCAATCAAGTGCAGAAAAGGGGGACGTAAAACTACTTTAATTTCATTTACAGCTAAAGATGTCCCCAGACCCACCCTCTGACTAATGTGATTTTAATAATTCACCCCAGGTGGCGCGGCATCACAGGATCCAATTGTCACCCTGTCATCTTAATGTCATCACTACAACCTTTCATCTTGCCGACAAACTGTGACGTCATAGCACGCACCTGTTGGGTTGAATATTGTTTCAATGTAAATGAGATGTATTTAACTGTTATTATCGGGGGTATATTTAAATGTAGCCGTGAATAGGACTGATACTGTTCACGCATGGAAGCAGTAAATTATACGATATGTATGTTAAACGCATGCATGACTTGGTTCAGTGTGAATACATCGTGTCCCGACCACTGAAGCTTCAATAATATTAAATTGGAATAGATTTAATTATAAATACTGAGTTCATATTTTGTTTATGTCATGTTGGATATGTTGTTTTTTTTTTCATTCTATCTAAAGTAAGATGTAAAAGACTTATTGATCATTTGAAAAAAGAAAAAAGACGCATGATTGAATCAGTTTAAAGACAGAAACATTTAGATGATATGACTACTTTCCAATTTTAGCCTGTGTGTCCACTAACCCTCTCTGTCTGACGAGGTGGGTTTGGAGGAATGGCTTCGTTGTTTCCAACGTAAGCACTAAAGCTGTTCCAAAACATTGATAATGTTGAATCATGTAACATTACTATTTTTTGTGTTTTGTTATTGTCAGTTTATCATCTAGTCGTCCTTTGTGATTGTATTATTGTATTGTCAATTAGTATTTGATTCTGTTCATTTATACTTGATTATACTTGTTACTTTATGTATTGTCTTTGACTAGAAATGGTGTAAGTAAAATGTTGTAGATAAAGATACTAATATATTAAGCTATGCTATTGAACTCTCAGGTCACATTTTGGTTTCTAACAAAAGCATATCATATTGGACCCTCATTTTACAAGAAATTCCAAAAATGGGCTCCTTTAACCCCGACCATTTACCCTCATATACTGAGTTTTGACTGAAACTTACAACTTTCTAAACACAATTAACAAATTGACTTTAACTCAACATTCAGTCATCATTATATCAGTTAGAACTCATTAAAACACACGATGCAGATCAGCATAAAGAATACAGCTCATTATATATGCAAAATTATGCAGAACTCTAGCGTGATATCGTGCTATTATATATTGACAGATCTCTGGTGAAAATCAAAGAGAGAATGGGCAATATGTTACTGGAATAATTAAACTAGAAAAACATTTCTATCATATCAATCAAGCACACTCATGTAAATTAATTATAATTTTTATTAAATTAACAAATTGCATAATTATTAAAATTTTAAATTACACTTTATTTGAAAAGTACTGGTTTAGCATTCATAATAATTGTTTTTATAATATTGTATTCTCTTTTTCTCTCCATAGCTTCAGGTTTTATAAAATGATTTTTTGTTCCAATTCACTCAACAAAACACGAGTGACATTTAGACACATAAATAATTCATATTAACGTTCATATCACAATTGATTGCTATTAATTCACATTGTTGGTTCTTCAGGGTACTGCAGCTCCTAGGCGTGGTCCGTAGAGTGAGGAATACTGCGGGTAATAAGCACTGAGGGGTGGGAGATGAGCGCCCGAGGGAGGGGCTCCAACACTTCCTAGTGGGGACTTGTAAGGGTGGAATCTGCTACTTGATAAAAGTCCTGGGCTTAAACTCGTGGGGTAAGCACGTCTTAAAGAGTTGGGACTGATTGGGGCTGCTCCAAGACCAAGTCCCGGGGCCCCAGATAAAGCTGATGGTGGCAGACCAAGTCCATAACCCGCAGGTAATCCTGAATCTATACTCGAAGTATGGCTCCTTAAATGTTGCATAAGTTCCTCGGAAGAGTTGAATCTTTTACCACAATAATCGTGTCCAGCAACCCAATTACAAATATAAGGTAGTCCTTGATGAGCGGAAGGAAGAGCACTATGAGGATAAAGGGAATGTAAAGAGGATAGAGATTGTAGTCCAGAAGCACTAGATGGTAAAGATGCTAGATGTGGGTAAAGTGATAAAGGATTTCCAGGCATCCCAAGTCCAGCAGCACCAGATGAAAGTCCTAATAAAGCTTTTTCATGAGCACATTGAGAACATCCGGGTGTTTTACACGTGGCTGAGGTGTGTGATGTTTGAACAGTCAGTTGACAGTTGGTACAATAAGGATCCTTGCACACTGGTACAAGAGTTGTGGCCCCTGATGGCGTTCGAACACGAGTATAACTAACATAGGGATTCATCGAGGCTACTGCAGCACCGGCTTTAAGAGCTGATTGTTGGGCGGCTGCTGCTGCAGCTGCTGATGAAGCAGCTAGTCCTTGTGCGTGTAATCCGGATTGGGCGGCCAACAGTTGAGATTGGTAGTAAGCAGCGGCTTCAGGGGATAGTCCATGACCCATCAAAGATAATCCAGCAGAATATGGAAGATGTGGAGCTCCTGGTAGTAACGGATGTGACCCAGACCGTAATCCATTTAAATAAGCACTGTGGGCAGCAGACATGGATGAAGAAAGGTGTGGGTGGAGTCCATTAGGGGAGGGGATTGGTGCTGGCTTTACATGATGCTGTGGTGAAATTGAGGAAGTCTTTCTAATTTCCGGTTGTGGTTCCTTCACAGGGCTTTTGGGTTTGACTGGAGACTCTTTTCGCTCGGGAACTGGCATCTTTTCTTTTGGTTCTTGTTTTTGTACGGGACTGTGGATTGATTCTGAAGAACTGTTTGAACTTTCGTCATGGTTATTGATGGGGACTAGAGGTGGCATTTCAGTGTAAGGAGGTACAGTTCTGAATCCTGGCTTTCCACTGTCTTTGGGTGACTCTTTCTTCTCTTCGGCTCTATGTTTGTCATCAACAGGTGATTTGGGAATTTTTTCAGCCGATTTATCCATGGGTGGGAGTGCTATTTTAGCTGGGGTGGTGTCCTTGCCTATACTGCTACACGTCTGGGCTAATAATTCCAGAGGACTTTTCTGATTTTCTGCCTGAAAATACAAAGAAAAATATTCATAAATATTATGTTTCATAATCATATTATCAAGGATCGGAACATGTTGAAGTATGTGTTACCTTCAGGTACATGGTAAACAGTATGTGCTAGTTTAGTTTCTGTACTAAAAAAAAATCTTCGTTTCTTGTTTAGCAATCATTATTCTTAAACACAAAACGAAAAAACAAAACAATTTCAAGTACTAGCTTAATATGCTATTATCCTGTTACATCCTTGTACAATGTAATGTTGTGTAAACGATTCAATTTTTGCATCCGAAAATCGGATTGACACAATCGGTGAAGGAAAAACATGAAAAAATGTGGCGATATGCAACACTGTGCTTGTTACAAATATCGGATAATAGGATTAGACAAGACTTTCTAATTTTCTTACAACTCAATAAACCAAACTCTTTACAGTTAAAAACATTAAAAAATGGGTGCGGAAAGCCTCGTGTTCTCTTTGAAGTCTAATATTTAATCCGTTAAGAACTAGCAAGGTCATGTTTTTAACGATTTCACGTCGCCATTATAATCTTTAAATATTACTCTTGTCTTTAAACAGTGTTGAAGATAATCAGAAGAAAATCTGTCAAAGTACTAATTATGTTACCCCTGTAAAGATAGGCATCTTTGACTTTTCATGCGAATTCGGTGAATGAGTTGACCATTATATCAAAAGTCTTTCAAAAATTAGGCAAACAATTTAGTTTTATGACTATGTTATGTTAGTAGGTATGTGACACCTGACACAAGCGTCTTCGATTTACAAAATAAGTTTCAAATTTCATACGAATTCTTGAAAAGTAGTTTTAAATAGCCCGTTATATTGTAAAGTTTCAAACGAAATATTGTTATCCCATACTCCAGGGCGTAAAACTCCAATGTCTATTTCCTTGCCAATTATTGTAATTATATTTCCTTATAGCTATAGTGTCAATGGTATCGACCTTTTCAGTTGACAGTTGTTGTCACTGTACATTGACGTAAAACTCCCTTCAATTCAATTCCTCAAACCTGCATGGGTATATTCACCATACCAATTTATTTTTATTGAAAATATATACTATAATATCAATATTTATAACCTTAATCCTCTATACGTCCATTGAAAAGTGCGAAGTTATCGACAAGTTGAGTGGGAAACAGATTTTGATGTCAATATATGTAACAAACTAGCGCCTTCTAAATCAATCAAAAAATACAGTGATATATATCAAATTAACAGATTTAAATATAATTTGCAATTTTAACGTCAGTATGAATATAAATAGATAAATTTCTCATTTAAAGGAATGAATATTCTAGAATGATTCGAATGGTGGTTGAATATTTCAATGGGTAGAAGTGAGAAAATTTTATGAAAATCTGCATAAAACAACAATATACAGTCGTATCCCTCAAGTAAATTACAAACGCGGACCTGAGAGGGAGCAAGGAGTGGCTTGAAGGAAGTTTTGAGCAAAGCTGATTTATTCGAATTATTCTTTACTGGAACCCTTAAATGTCTTTATGTTAAATATTATAAGCAAGAACCTGAGAGAAAACAAGGCAGAGCAGACAGTATCAGTGTTATTTCTATTACAACTGAAATCAGTCAAATACCAATCAATATACATACACAAGTAGAAAAATAAACAGGAATAGAAAGACTATACTTACAGCTGAGGAAATTGGTAGAGAATGAAGATACTCTGGGGGGAAATACGGTCCAGCATTCGCCAACATTGTGAAAACTTGCTTCGATATATCCTCAGTAATAAGTTATTAACAATCACTGATCATTCCATTGGAGGTTAAACTCTTAATCCGTGATTTAATCCGAGGTTTATACACTGTAATATCTAACAGAATGGAACAATGTATCACAAAGTTTATAACGTCTTATCCTTACGACTAAACTTCCTGAAACGTTCGATCCTTGCGACTTGAAACACGTCTAACTACGAGTAATATTTACTATGAACTAGTAAAAGGGGTTGCTGTCAGTCACTGGTTTGTATCTCTACTACTCGCCGCACCTCAACACTTTATAATATAAATTACAAATGTACTAAACAACGCGGAGAACACGTCAATCAACGTCTCAACACGGTCTCTTCGCACCTTCTCATTGGTCCAATATCACCGACATACTGTGGTATATTACACGCCATGTTTCCAACATTAACCAATCAAAATACAACATTTAAATAACGCGACAGCTGTCAGTCAAATCTGCTGCTATCAATCATTTTTACAACCCGGTTGTCAATCAAAATGGTTTGTAAACGAGCACTGGTGTTGACAGATACGGATGTAAACCGCATGAGGAAACGAATGGTGTTGAATTTAAGAAAATTAAATATGAAAAGCTTCAGTAAAGACATTTCTTTGCGAGTTTTAGAATATTTTAAGACCGGTCACAGAGTTTGAGTTAATTCCTCGGCTGTTTTCACCATGATGTATGTTTGGTTTAGTTCCCAACTTGAGGTGGAATTTCTTTGTCTTGATAAGCCGCCATGTTTTTTCCTCACATTCAACAAATATTTGTTGGTAAAACATTTGGTTAAAATTTGTTGAAGAACGGCGATTGAGGAAACGGATAAACACTTTGTTTTAGGTTGATCGAAGCCTTATGACGATAAAATGATAAAAATGTTTGATATGGCGTCGATATTTTCTGACTGTTCTTTGGTTGAAATTTTTTTATTTTCTCTATTTTATACCCAATAAACCTAAATATGGTTATGTAAATTTCATTGTGACTTGATATCGATATAAAAGTCGATGGTAAAGAGTTAAAAATGGAGTTTACGTCTTATTTTTGGGCTTCTGATTATATTACTGCAGATTGAGAAAATAGTCTTTAATTAGGAAATTTTTGCAAGCACATTTTTTGACAGGGCAGCATTCTATTAAATAACACGACTCTTATAAACTTCTTACTTTAAGTATTGCCCTTGACTAGAAAATGTGTAAAACGTTGCAAATAAAGATATATACATAGCACGGTGGTTTTTGGAAAATGAAATGAAAATGAATGGAGTTTTACGTCCTACTTTTCTGCACCATGTGGGTTAATGAAGACGGGCAACGCCATGGAGGGTGCAATAAGGCAAAGTTTGCCAGGATAGCGGGATTAGCCTGCTCTTTTCGATTTCCAACTGTCGAGGGATCTGTAACGTGCACAGCCTGTAGCATAGGGGCCTCAGTTTATTGTCCCATCCGAACGACAAGATGTTTTTGACGGCTTTTCGAGTTAAGGCATCTAGGACATCGAACTTGTAGTCAACCAATATAAACCTCATAAAATATCTTACATTATACCACAATAAAGACATAAATCTGTTTTTTTAAATAATATATAATCTTTGAAATCAAGCCATATCAAATCTATTTATTGCCTATCATTTTTTAATCTAAACTCGAGTTTTTAATGTTTCAACTTTATAAAGTTCTAATAAAGGTGTTGAAACAAGATTGGTACTAAAAGCTATTTTAATTGAATATACAGCTCGATATATAATGGGCCATTTTAATCATAAACTATAACATACTTTGATGTTTCCAATTTATTTCGAAGTTTATGGCGCAGAACACAGTAGGGTGGAAAAAAACGGGCGATAAAAAGGCAAATTTATCATCTTCGCGATATGGAAGAGCGATGAATAATGGCCCTGCATTCATTATAGCTTTACACGCCTTCATATACCATAAACATGTACATGTAACTCATTCAAACCGGTTTAATGGCAGCCATTACTTTATAATGTTTTAAACATGTGTTAAATTGTAACGAAATCAAAAACTCAAACATGGCGGTTAGTTTTTATCACGGGATATTTCATATTTCAGGAAACTAATGGCGACTATTAATTTTAGAAGTTTTGTCGGCGTGCAAGATGTTGTAAGTGCACGTTCATTGCATTCTTTTGTTGCAGTCGGTGCACAATTCGCCATCAAAGGAGTCGTGTTTATTTTTGTTTGAGGAAAATGTCACTTCATTACAACAAGTGGCGCCGCCTTCGTTTTTATTTAAAGGTTAAAAATTCATTACCTACACTAAAACATATTTTATATTAAAGGAGGGGTGTGCTGGCTTTTTAAAAATCAGGAATTGTGGGTTCCCAGTTCAGCAATATTTCAGTGAATAATAAGACAGGTTTGTGAGTGGAGGGAGTTATCATTGCCACTCCATTGATTATATCAACTTGTTGAATTTCTATTTGTGGATTATTATTATTGAACAAGTATATGTATATCATTGCAGAGTATTATGTTATGTTCATGTTCCAACAGAGTAAAATATGTTTATTGTAACATAATGGCTTTTTGATATTTTTAAAAAATATGAGATGCAACCCACTCAAATAGGATCATAAATAAAATAAAATGTTACATAACAATGCAAAAAATAAAAAATATACCACACGCCCACGTAGCAATGGTATATCAGGTCTAGCAATCTTTTGATACATTTTAAATTATGTTTAAATGCTTTGACAGCTTTCAGCATACATTGCCTTTAAATCAAATTACAGCCCGACATCTATTGTTATAGCCCTGATTGTTGATAAACCTTAATCCAGCTTCTATTTAAACCTTAATTAGTTTTCTCACAATTTGCTCCCCCAATAAACCAACGTGTTAATCCCTACACTGTCAGTAATCTGTGTAATTTATAACCTTTGACCTTGTATGCTTGATATCCTTTCCAAACCGACTACACTGTAAAATATATTCTGGGAAATTACAACTATTTTACGATTTTAGCAGTGAAACTAACATCAATTTTGATGAAATCAAATTTAAATTCTGTTTCTTTTTTTTTTCTCCTGATAATTTACAAGTTTTCTATCACAGCTTCGACACAATAATGTTCAAATTTCCCGCAAGGAGAAACTATCGCAACAGAAAACAGCCAACAGTAATATTTTTTACATCAGTAATTTACAGTGTAGTCACTAACTTTACAACAGACATGTAAAATACGGTGAATTATTTATGAAATCTTAGGGCAGATTTGTAAATCTACAGTAGTCTTCTGAACATTACCAAATTTTACAACAGTACTGTGGGTTTTAATATTCTGAAAGGTAAAAAATTCACCTTAGGCAATTAGTTAACAATGTAGTGGCCACTTTCACACTACAAAAATCTTAAATATTGAAATTCGCCGAAGAATTTATGAGTCTATGCTTGACTTGCTGACTAACTTAAGACGAGGCTATAATCCTACAATAATGGTGAATTGAAATAACCGTGATATAAGATCTGTCTTGTCTAATTATAACCGATTATCTTAGTTTAAACAGATTTAAATTGTGCAACCGATCTTGTGAAACTTAATTCAACTTGACCACGCCTTGGCGGATTAGGTTTGTAACTTGTAAAGAAAGTCGTGTTGAAATAGGGAAAAAATAAGTCTCATATCACGAAATAAATTAATTAAAATGACTTCTTGGGAAATTTTACTTCCTACGCATCTGAATATTATTTGACTAGTAGGGAAAAGGGAAGACTGAAATCTTGAGTTGCTTCAAAAGATGGGTGGTTATACATGTATAAAGGAATTTTATAATACTTTTAGTTATTCATTTATGGTTGATATACTATATTTCCTCATGTAAGGATCCCCATATTTGTTTCTACCTTTCGTTCTGTTTGTAACCTTTTCTTTTCAGCAATATTTAAATCTCATGTTCAACACCCTGTAGCCCTGTTAATCAAATAAAATCAAGCTGAACCAAACCCTGAGATTCAAATCTGCTTCAAAATTCAAGTTGTTTTATTTCGTTTCGTTAAAGTTTGACAAACAATTACGCCATATTTTTATTGAACATTTTCTTTGAAGCCAAAACATCGCATTAACAACTCTGTTGTCAGTTTGATTCTTGACAAACTTTTCAGCACAAATACTCACGCACCTGTGAAACAAACTGAAGTTTCCTTCACAAACTTTTAAAAAGGTTGAAGAATTTCCAGCCATTAAGCTGTCAACATGGCGAATATTCAAGATGGCGTACAAACAAACATTCAAAGGGGTGATGAAATATCTAAAGAAGAAACGTTATTGGATGGAGAGTATGCCGGTAAAGATCAAAGACATTGGAGTGGAGAGTAAGAGAGATGCGGGTAGTCTCGAGGTCATCTTATCCAGTCCTTCAAACTTCTTACTTTGATAACAAGTAGTTTTTGAGATAAAATGTTAACTGATTCGGTAAACAACTTGTAAGGAAATAGAACACCTTGAATCCAACTCATCTCTTTCTAGTTTTTAAAACGAAAAAAGCCAACCAAAATGGAAAATATTGTGAGAAACCCCGAACATGCTTAACGTAGATAATCTTATAGCGGAGTAAAGATCACATTAAATACAATAATACAGTATACTACTCCTGGGACGTTTCAACAATTTACATTGTCATCATCAGTTTATAATGTATACTACTCCTGGGTTTAATTGTACAACATTTCAACAATTTACAATGTCATCATCAGTTTATATGGTATACTACTCCTGAGTTTTATTGTACAACGTTTCAATAATTTACATTGTCATCATCAGTTTATATGTTATACTACTCCTGAGTTTTATTGTACAACGTTTCAATAATTTACATTGTCATCATCAGTTTATATGTTATACTACTCCTGAGTTTTATTGTACAACGTTTCAATAATTTACATTGTCATCATCAGTTTATATGGTATACTACTCCCGAGTTTCTGTTATCACCAGTACTAATCCTTGGTTTTATTGTACACAACGTTTCTACAATTTACTTTGCCAATATCAGTTTATATGATATACTAATCCTGTGTTTTATTGTACACAACGTTTCAACAATATACATCCTCAGATAAACGCCAGACAGATTCTAACGTCGTTTTATATATTTGTAGGAAAATAAAGACTTGGTCAAAGTGAAGTGGTCAAACAGCAGAATCTTGTTCTAAATTCAAGGCCCATGTCTCCTAACACATCTTAAATTTGTCGTAAGTTTGGAAGTTCACATTGAGAAATGTCACAAATTCAAATAAGAATAGACAGTAACCTTTTTGAGAACCTGGTTTAAATTTCAAACTTTG